GAAAGATTTAAGAATCGTAGTGGCATACACAGTGTGGTAAGGCATGGTGAGGCTGCCAGTTCAAGTCCTAATGGAAGGGGATTCCCCTTCTAAACACTAACACCATCCACACTCTCCCCTACTCCCATCCCATCAATCATCACCAGATCTTCATTAAAGGTAAGTGTCAATTATTCTATTATTATTAATCTATTGTTATTGTTGTTATTGCAATTATTCTATTGCATTAAACTTAATATTTCATGTGGTAAATTTTTTTTTTTTCATACTTTTGGGTGTCTTGCACGGGTTAATTTGATTTCCATTATTTCTCATGGGGAAAATTAATTTGACTTTAGATATTTTCGACATACGATAGCTCTCAGGAACGGATTAATATCGAATGTCAGGGGTCCACTGTACTCATTTGTGCTTAATTGTAATCTGTTTACAATAATGTATTACCACTGAATATATCATTGCTTAATTAATCTTAAGTTAACTTTAAGCCTGCCCATAATGCTCTGCATACAAGGGGCTTTGGCAAGTTACACTTAATCAAATAAGATAAAATCAAATCAAATCAAGTTTATTCTCTATAAGGATTACAATGCTGAGTTTACAGAATTTGGATATTGTGTGGTTTACATGTTTTAAAATACTGATTACAGAGGGGGCCACTAGAACACCTAGCATGGCTAGGCATTTCGGGCAGACTTAGATTAATTCTTAACTTTAAAATATTACAAATTATGAGGTAAGTTGGTATTATGGCTAAGTGACTAAATACTAGTTTGTGAGTTTAGCAATGTGAATGCTTTTGTTTTGGCACAATACGTAGTTTCAGTATTGGAGTATCACAGGCCAACTTATGACTAGTTAAGATTCATTATTTTAAGATTAAGATTGATATTTCTGTGTTTATGGTCAAGTGGGTGAGTGAGTGTAAGTGTGAACCACCAGGTGGTATTCATGTAATTAGTTGATGGGGTGTATCAGGGAGATAAGATGGTTTCTAATGGTAGTTTTGAAGGTGATGACTGTGTCTGCAGTTCTAGAGTTCTCAGGTAGGGTGTTCCAGATTTTAGGGCCTTTGACATACATTGAATTTTTGTAAAGGTTTAGTCGGACATGGGGAATGTCATAGAGATGTTTATGTCTGGTGTTATGTCTGTGGGTTCTGTCACAACTATCAAGAAAGTGTTTTAGGTCAAGGTTAATATTGGAATTTAAGGTTCTGTAGATGTAGACTGCACAGTAGTAAGTGTGGATGTACTGAACAGGGAGTAAGTTTAGATCTATGAAGAGTGGTGGGGTGTGTTGCCAGGGATGGGATTTAGTGATTATGACGACGTTTCGGTCTGACTTGGACCATTGACAAAGTCACACTAACCAGAAGTGGAGCAGGACGGCTATATATAGGCAGGAAGAGGTGGTGGTAGTAGTAGTAGTAGTAGTACAAGAATGGCATATAATACCGACAAGATGAAATTAAGACACATGCGCAACACCCGGGCATCCCTATCGTAGACGTTTCGCCATCCAGCCAGCCACTGGATGGTGAAACGTCCACAACAAAGACAACGAGACGCCGCACATGTGTCTTAATTTCATCAGTAGTTGTAGTAGTAGAAGACGTAGTAGTAGTGGTTAGTGTGACTTTGTCAATGGTCCAGGTCGGACCGAAACGTCGTCGTAAGCTTCTCTCTTTTATGTGCGGGTTATTTGTGTATCGTTCCAGCCACGGTATTGTGCCTTTTTTGTTATTTAGTGATTATTCTTACTGCAGCTTTTTGCTGGGTTATTACTGGCTTTAGGTGAGTTGCTGCAGTTGATCCCCAAGCACAGATAGCATAGGTGAGGTATGGATAAATTAATTACTGTATGCCTTTGTACTTCTCTGTATCATGTTCAAATAAATAAATAAATAAATAAAACTGCAACATATCACCGCCCTTCCTCTATACACACATATAGCATGATATAGTTAAAGTAAGTGCTTGACCAGCCAGGCCGTAGTTCATACGTTGGTTTATGTGCAGCCAGCAGTAACAGCCTAGTTAATCAGACCCTGATCCACTACGAGGCCTGGTCTCAGACCAGGCCACAAGAGCTCTGACCACCAAAACTCTCTCCAGGAATATTCCAGGTATATTTTGTACATGCAACGGAAAACGCACTTCCAAAATTGAATAGCACACGTAAACAACTTCACAGTAAAGTTATTCAATTTTGCATGCACCTTTGCAGTTGCAATTGCAAAAAAAATACATACTACATACAGTACTTTATAAGAGCTCTGAATGTATTACGAACATCAAAAATATGATAGAAACTACTTGTTACAGAAATGTCCGCCAGTCGCTGTTACCAACACAGAAATACGATCTTAAGAAACCTGACTTAACCGAAGATGCATGTATGACTGTAGTGAAGGTGTACATATGGCTGTAGTGAAGGTGTACATGAGACTGTAGTGAAGGTGCACATATGACTGTAGTGAAGGTGTACATATGACTGTAGTTAATTACATAAGAAATCCTACTTAACAGTCTATGTCTAAATCTAAAGTAACATTGAAGCATTAGAATTAGTTTGCCTGAAATACATTATATATCAGTGACTTTGTCTCTAACAATTTTTATTCCATATAAACTATCTTATATTTTTGTACAGCATAAGATAAATAAAAAGTTGAATTTTGAATTTGAATTTTGAATTTGAATTTTGAATTTGAATTTTGAATTTGAATTTTGAATTTGAATTTTGAATTTTAATTTTGAATTTTAATTTGGAATTTGAATTTTGAATTTGAATTTTGAATTTTAATTTTGTAAGCTAATTATTCTGAACGTATAATTCTGAAGTTACTTGGTAGCATAAAATAAGATAATAACGGGAGCACTCAGAGCCTTGACGCCTGACCTGTCTTCAACTGAGGGCCGTGCCCGAGGACACACTTTCAAATTCAAATTCAATTCAAATTCAAAGTTTATTCTCTATAAGGATTATAATGCTGAGTTTACAGAATTTGGTTATTGTGTGGTTTACATGTAGTAAAATAATAATTACAGAGTGTACCACTAGAACACCTAGCATGGCTAGGCATTACAGAGTGTACCACTGGAACACCTAGCATGGCTAGGCATTACAGAGTGTACCACTGGAACACCTAGCATGGCTAGGCATTACAGAGTGTACCACTGGAACACCTAGCATGGCTAGGCATTACAGAGTGTACCACTAGAACACCTAGCATGGCTAGGCATTACAGAGTGTACCACTGGAACACCTAGCATGGCTAGGCATTACAGAGTGTACCACTAGAACACCTAGCATGGCTAGGCATTACAGAGTGTACCACTAGAAAACCTAGCATGGCTAGGCATTACAGAGTGTACCACTGGAACACCTAGCATGGCTAGGCATTACAGAGTGTACCACTGGAACACCTAGCATGGCTAGGCATTACAGAGTGTACCACTGGAACACCTAGCATGGCTAGGCATTACAGAGTGTACCACTGGAACACCTAGCATGGCTAGGCATTACAGAGTGTACCACTGGAACACCTAGCATGGCTAGGCATTTCGGGCAGACCTATATTAAATCTTAAGTTTAAAATATTACAAAATTATGAGGTAAGTTGGTATTATGGCTAAGTGACTAAATACTAGTTTGTGAGTTTAGCAATGTGAATGCTTTTGTTTTGGCACAGTACATAGTTTCAGTATTGGAGTATCACAGGCCAACTTATGACTAGTTAAGATTCATTATTTTGAGACTGAGGGTGACTCATGATGTCACAGCTAGTAGGGCAGCTGTGAATCACATAATGGTCATCAGTGAGTGATTCACCTAACGGTTACTGGTATGAGGCACGGTACTACTGTCACTACTGATAAATGATACTACTGATACTTGACTTTATCCTTATCATTAAGGCAAATATTAATTATATTTAATTATTGACTGTGGCGTTGGTGAGGTATTCATGATCACTGGAGCTGAAGCTATCTTCCTTCTTTCTTTCTTTCTCTCTCTCTCTCTCTCTCATGGGGCCCTATAAGGCTAGGAGAAGTGAATCTGGCAGGGCTTACCTATAAGCAGGCACTTATAGGTAAGCACGCATGTATGCACGTACACATGCACACGGAGCAGGGGGAGAGAGAGGACCTAGTAGCAACCAGGGAAGAGGCAGGGATACGAGCTGTGAATCAACCCCTGCAACCACAAACAGGTGAATACACACATACACAGGACCCTATGACACTAGGAGGGGCCAGGAGCTGTGAATCGACCCAGCAAGTACATAGTTATATTTTATGTGTTCGATAAAGTCAGTTTGTGGAGAAACATGCAACAAGGACTCATCTGCAGTTTTACTTGTCATACAAGCCTTACAAATACAAGGTTCTCACTTATACAGTACTAACTCATCAAACAAGGTTCTCACTTATACAGTACTAACTCATCAAACAAGGTTCTCACTTATACAGTACTAACTCATCAAACAAGGTTCTCACTTATACAGTACTAACTCATCAAACAAGGTTCTCACTTATACAGTACTAACTCATCAAACAAGGTTCTCACTTATACAGTACTAACTCATCAAACAAGGTTCTCACTTATACAGTACTAACTCATCAAACAAGGTTCTCACTTATACAGTACTAACTCATCAAACAAGGTTCTCACTTATACAGTACTAACTCATCAAACAAGGTTCTCACTTATACAGTACTAACTCATCAAACAAGGTTCTCACTTATACAGTACTAACTCATCAAACAAGGTTCTCACTTATACAGTACTAATTCATCAAACAAGGTTCTCACTTATACAGTACTAACTCATCAATACAAGGCTATAACTCATCAATGCAAGGCTATAACTCATCAATACAAGGCTATAACTCATCAATACAAGGCTATAACTCACCAACTCATACAAGGTTGTAACTCACTCAAGGCTCCAATTTAACTCAGCCAAGGCTATAACTTGTTGACAGAGGGGTAACTCACCTATACAAACCACTCTGACAGAGGGGTAACTCACCTATACAAACCACTCTGACAGAGGGGTAACTCACCTATACAAACCACTCTGACAGAGGGGTAACTCACCTATACAAACCACTCTGACAGAGGGGTAACTCACCTATACAAACCACTCTTCCTTCTGTGTGGAGGAGACATCACTCTCGGAGCCAGAGACTCTCACTGAGACAGGCAGTAGAGAACGATGAGCTGCTGCAACGTACGCCCCTCCACCCCTAACACAGGGCGAGCCAGGTTTCCCGGACTCCTACTGTCTGTTAGGGACGCAACACTTAGTTAGGTACCTGAGTTGTAGTTGGTCTCTGCAGGTGTAGGGGTGCATAGGGTATCTGCAGGTGTAGGGGTATGTAGGGTATCTGCAGGTGTGGGATTTATAGGGTATCTGCAAGTGTGGGGGTGCATAGGGTATCTGCAGGTGTGGGGGTGCAAAGGGTATTTGCAGGTGTGGGGGTGCAGAGGATCAGTGTTCTGAAGTTCGGAGCATTTGGCAGTGTAATGAGAAAGGAAAGGATCTTATAATTTTTTGACTACGCCAAGGGGGGGGTATGGGTGTATAATAGAAATTAAACAAGAACTCAGAGACAAACCAAGACCTGAGATTCTTATTGGTAAAGTTGGTAAGGGGTGCTAAAAAAGATCTTAGTGTATATCTTCTTATGCCCCCCAAACCCATTCTGCAGGTGGTAGTCAAGGGATTCAAGGTCAAAAAGGGGTCCGGGGGACTGGGCTTCAAATTTTTGATAGCAAAACCCAAAGTAAAAAAGTACAAGATGGCATATTGAATGATGGCAAAACACTGTCTTGTTGCAGCTCCCTTGACATACTTTTTTTAAAATAAGTCTTGTCCGGCTTTGTCCTGTAGTATGGGGGTGCAAGGGATTTGAAGGTGTGGAAGAGAGTATTTGAGGTGTGGGGTGCTAGGTATTTATGTGGAGCAGGTTTTGAGGTGTGGGGTGCTAGGGTTTTGAAAATGTGGAAGCAGGTATTTGCGGGGTGGGAGTGCAGGGGTTTTTAAAGGGGTGGAAGCAGGTTTTTTAGGTGTGGGGCACGGGGATTTGAAGGTGGGGGAAGCGAGTATTTGCGGTTGGGGGTGCAGGGGATTTGAAGGGGGGAAGCAGGATTTGCAGGTTGGGAGGCAGGGGATTTGCAAGCGGTGCAAAAATCAGGAAAGGGGTAATTCTGCAGGTATCGTATACAAATCAGGAAGGTGTAAGTCTGCAGGGGTGGTGTAACAGAAATCAAGGTGGTAAGTTTGGAGGGGATTGTGAGAACCCCACCTTGGATAGCCACAAAAAATGTAAAAACAAAAGACTGTTGAAATTTTTGTCGATTTCAAAGGTTTTTTGTTTTTACTTCCAACCCCAAGATTTGAGAAAATTCGTTCATCACTAAACTGAGAGCATCCCGGGCCAGTTCTCAATAAGTGCTGGGAAGAATGAAACTGAACCAAAACAATCAAACCCTGCAAGACACGGAAAATCTTTAACAAAATCATGCAAAGGAATCTGGAAAAAATTTTTTGCTAGAAAACCAAGGTTTCAGAAACCCTGCAAGAGATAATGGCCTTTTATTTCCCGGGCAAATTCTCCCCAGGGCCGATAACCCCGGCTTTTAGGTAGTGGGTCAGCAGGCCCCGCACGCAACTGCTACACCAACGGCCTGGGGTAGAAAAGCTTTCGAAAACCAAAAAAATGTCCCCCCTTCCAACCAAATCTCTTAGATTATGTAAGATATGTGAAGAAACAGGACAAGTGTTTCCTGATGCAGGTCTTAGTGATATATGACCTACAGCTGGAGCTTTTGGTCATCTGAGAGGGGCCTTCCACTGGCTTATCTCTCTATCCCTCTAAAAATTAAGGTTATAAATCATAACCATTCTCAGTAATATTGATACCCGTGAGTTCCTCTTATATCAAACTTCTGGGCTGAGGGGGTATTGACCCCTGAACCCCCCCTCCAGGTATACTCCAGGTCCCTATGTGACACAGCCAATGTTTAACGTAAAGAACGAGATCTGCCAACCACTTGTGACACGCTTCGAGTCTGAAACAAGGAGGTCAATATGGTAATGCTCTGGATGACACCAGTGTGAAAAACCTATTAACTGCTGCACAAATAGCAGCAATGTCCAAGATCTGTCCTTTGATCTCAAGATCAAGAGAAGCAGCTTCGTATACCGTGAAGGTGGAGCATCAGAAGCCATGAGTATATACAGCAGCGCCATGTATATACATAACAGCGATGTGAGACTTCAGGAACAATGAGGGTAATGAGAGAACTGAATGGGCAGACACAACAGTGAGGTGAAACTTCAGGAATGATGAGGGTAATGACAGCACTGCATGGGTAGATTGTCAAACTCTTTACAAGAGTCTATAGAAATAATCAACAGGATTAAAACGAAGGTGAAGATTTTTATTATTAGATAATAAGAAGTTACAATACCATGATTGGAACAATATACAACCCGCACACAGGAGAAATGTATTATGTTTCAGTCTCACTTGGACTAGTCACACAGAAGCGTGAAGGTTGATGATGCTAATGTGTTCACCAGGAACACAGTCCTGACACAGGTATTTTCTAGATGGTGACCTGTCACTGCCTCCCGAAGAAGTGCCGGAGTCTGTACAAGTGATGTACCGTTTACAGCCCTATGACATGAGCACGGTGAGTCTTCTTCAAGTCAGGCGGAGTATTGTTTACAGCCCTATGACAAGGGTATGGTGAGTCTTCTTCAAGCCACGCAGAGTATTGTTTACAGCCCTATGACAAGGGTATGGTGAGTCTTCTTAAGCATTAAGTATTGTAGCAGTTAGGTACAGTCATCAGAGATTCCCTGTAGCTGGGGTACAAGAAGTCTTCCATTCAAGAAGTGTTTTGGGTCCTGTGTGTACAATGGTGTAAGTCATCTCCAACTACACAGCCTTGTTTGCTACCTTTCCCAATCACAAAGTGCTCGTAGGGAGTAATAATAATATTTCTACAAGTACATGTACAAGGTATACAGGCCATAGCTGACATCAGTGACATACTACTATATAGAAAGCTGCTTATGCAGAGCATTTCTGGCAAATTAGGTCAATTTATTCCCAGGATATAACCCGCACTAGTCGCATTTTACTGCTAAGTGAACATGGACAGCAGGTGTCTTATGGAAACATGTCCTAATGTTTTTCAGCCATACTGGGGATCGATCCCCAGACCTCAGTTTGTGAGATGAGTGCACTAGCAATCGAGCTACGATACTGGTGTTGGTGCAGAAGTTTGGGCTAAGTGTCTGGTATCTCAGTGCAGGTGTTGTCACTGGTATGAGGCTCTCAACGGAACATTTCACCACACAGTGGCTTCACCAGTCCAATACAAAGAAGAACGGTAGGAAAAGGGGAGTTTGAGGTAATCAGTCTCTCAGCCTGGAATAGATGTGTTCAGTCCATCAGTCTTGAAGAAAGTACTTTTTTTAAGACTGGACTGATTACCTCAAACTATGCCTGTTTTCTTACCGTTCTTCTTTGTATTGAACTGATGAAGCCACTGTGTGGCGAAACATTTCCTCAATAAAGATTCCTAAATGTTGCACATCATATATCTTTCTCCAGCTGTCTTCTTTCTTAAGAGGTGCCTGAGTTTCTCTGTCTCCTAATTTCATGTTAATTTTTCCCTTATAATCTACCTTTTCCATAATTACTATTGTATTTGCTTTGTTTCGTAAAGTGAAGTCCAGGATCTTTCCTTAATTCACTGTATACTTAACAATTCTTTGATAACAATTGTGTTGTTGAGGTCAGGGCTTTGCTCCGACCTCTACACCTGGCAAAGTTCTTGCTTCACACGCTGAGTGTCCAGGTTCGATTCCCGGCAGGGGTGAAACATTCGATGCATTTCCTTACACCTGCTCTCCTGTTTACCTAGAAAGTAGGTACTTGGGTGTTAGTTAGCTGGTGTTGGTCACATCCTGGGAGACAAGACTGAGGACCCCAATAGAAATAAGACATACAGTCCCTTGATGACACACTGACTTTCTTTGGTTATGCTGACTGGCTAACCCTCTGAGGTTAAAAATCCGAACAAAATTATATCATATTCCAGGCTGAGGGACTGATTATCTCAAACTCCTCTCCTTACACCTTTCTGCTTTGTACTGGACTGATGAAGCCACTGTGTGGTGAAACGTTTCCTCAACAAAGATTCCTATATGTTGCATAGGTGTCTCAATCTTCAACTGGTCACTTTTGAAAACCATTTATCGCAATACATTTCCTGCTGTCCAAATCTAGTTTTCAGTTGTCCTCTTTTTTTCTCTGCTCTTTGTCCTATATACTTGAAAGAACTCTTTAGGATTTGTCTTTAATTACAAAATCAAATTAGCCTTTCTAATCCCCCTTTTTATTTCTCTTTTAATATTAACGTATTGGTCAGTAAGGTTAACCTCTCCTCTTTTGATGTGCTTGTAAACTTCTGTTTTATAATATCTTCACTTACTACAAGTACATGTATGTACAAGGTATACCAGTACATGTACAAGGTATACCAGTACATGTACAAGGTATACAGACCATAGCTGACATCAATGACATACTAGTATATAGAAAGCTGTTTGTTATGCTGAGTATTTCTCGCAAATTAGGTCAGTTTTGTCCCAGGATGCGACCCACACCAGTCCACTAATACCCAGGTACCCATTTTAAACTGATGGGTGAACAGGGACAGGGACAGCAGGTGTCTTAGGGAAACACGTCCCTAATGTTTCCCAGCTGTACCAGAGGAGATTCAAACTCCAGACCTCAGTGTGTGAGGTGAGTGCGCTAGCGATCAAGTTACGGGACACTTAATAGATGCTTTAGTCTCTTAGTCATCCAACTGGGATCATTTTTCACCTAGTGCCACTCAGGAAAATATATACATGTATATGTATATTGAGCACATTGTACATTATTAAGAAAAAGTCATATCTGTGTCATACATAGTCATACAACCCTTCAATATTGTAAGAATGATCATCGTCAACAGAATCACTAGCTAGGATACCCCAGTTAAGACTAGGCAGGTGTTCCCTAAATCCATTATAATTGGCAGAACGAAAATTGGGGATCTTTACTGTATTACAGTGGAACGTCGGTTGTCGAATTTAATTCATTCCAGATGTCGATTCAACAACCAAAACCGATGACAACGAAAGCAATTTTTCCCATAAAGAATAATGCAAATAGAATTAATCTGTTCCCGACCCCAAATGACATTATGTATATTAATA